ACTAGCACTGACGCTACACCAGCAGACTTCCACTATGCAAAACTCATCCGAAACATGTCCGAAACTCACCCGAGCCCCTCAGGCTCTAAACCAACCATGCACACAAGTGAAATAACACCTTACAAGCTGCTCTCACAATCAAATCATCAAAATAACATCTAAATCTACGAATCAATCCTGAAAACGAATTAGTTTTCAAAGTGGAACTCAAGAGCACTAGAATCGCTTTTAAGTATCCGAATCATGTGAAATAAATTTTGAATTGAACCAAATTTTGTAGACAAACTTCAAATGGTAATACGAAACTATTCCAAGTTTTAACATCAAAATCCGAACCTGTTAGTTAAGAAGTCAACTTACGGTCAAACTTATGAATTCTTCAAGTTTCAAAAATTCTAATTTTCGGCAAAATGAGTCAAAACAAGTTAGGGGCTTCCGAATTCAATTCCGGAAATACGCCCAAGTTCCAAATCCGGATACGGGCCCACCGGAACTGTCAAAACACTAATGCGGATCTGTTTACATAAAATGTTGACGATAGTCAACTCAAGTCATTTTAAAGACAAAATTCACATTTTCTTGATTCTTCACATAAAAAATTTTCGGAAAAAAATACGGATTACGCACCCAAATCGAGGAAGCTAAACGGAGCTATTCGAAATCTACGAGCACATAAATGAAGGGCAAAACTATAAATCATCTATCGGGTCATCACACTATTATTTTCATGCGATAAAATAATTTTGCAATCACGTTCTTTAGGATTTAATCTATTTCCTTTTGATTTTGTTTCTACACACAAGATTAACATAACTCTATAGTTTGTTTGTTTCTTATTTTCCCTTTTAATTCAATCACCTTATCTTGATGAGTGTTGAGGGTTTAGAAGGATCGCTATCAATTTATTAACTACCAAACTATAATTGTCTGGATTTTAAAATCCTCATGACAGGGAAATCCATATAATTTGGTAGAGTTAAAGAAATTAGTATCTTTAGGCCATTCCTCAGAATCCTTAGGAATTTAACATTCATATACGCTAAAGGCATACGAATATAGGTGTCACATTTCAAATATAATTTACTCTCAATCTCTTCTCTTCATTGGGTCAACGGGGAGTATATCAGATAACCTTTAGCTTTCAGCAATAAATATTAAATACTCCTAAAACTAGAATATACCAGATCCCAGTAAAAGTAAGCTAGGTTTCTTTTGTTATTTGCATTCATGGTGATTGGTAGAGAAGATATCTAAAACTAGAAGATATAATTTGGAGCAGCTAAAAAATAGTTAACACTTTTTTTTGTTTGTAAGCTTATGGAAATTTCTTTAAAGGAGGAGCTCTCGTCATCTTCTCTCTTTGTAGTTCTTATCGAACTACCTATGAATATTATTATTCCCAATGTACTATTTCCACCTCGTTGTAGTCTCTCTTTAAGTATTGTAAATGTTGCTTTGTTTTTTTAACATTTTTAGAAAATAATCAAATTTTATTTAAAATAAGGTTATTTGTTTACAAAGTAATTAAAGTTCTACAAGTAATAAAATTTCATCCCTCTAGTTTCAAATGAAAAGTATTAACCGTATAAAATAGAACTCCGTAAAAACTTGTTACAAAGTTTAATAAAAAATCCAAAGTAAATATATCATAGTTCATTGTACATTCCCATAATACACGTATTATTTAGACATTTTTTTTTTATAGAATAAAAAGGCTCAATAATTTAAAATTCAGTGTACGTACTGAACCCTCGACCTCTCTATATAAAATAAGAGGAACTAGTATTTTAATAAGTTGAAATACTAGTATTTTAATAACTTGTGCGCATTCTAATAAGTTGAAGAATTTTTGGGATCATAGATGGGAAAGTTGTGGTTATAGCGTTGACATGGTTTGCATTGTATCCAGATAAAGTCACTACCAGTGTTAGTAACTGAAATTGTGGAAGTGTTCCCACCAAAAAATTCAGAAGGTAACTACAACCAAAAGCATCAGGTATCAAGTCCATTGAGACTAAGTGGTTAAATAGAGGTGACAACTTTGAAGAAGGGTGAATTAGGCCGATGCTAAATCCACGGCCAGTCGTACTAGTTGTTTTTGGTGGGAACACCTCCACAATTTCAGCTTACACCTAACACTGGTAGTGGTTTCATCTGGATACAATGCAAACCATGTCAATGCTACAACTAGAACTTTCCCATTTATGATCCAAAAAATTCTTCAACTTATGAGGAACTACCTTGTCACTCACCAAAATGTTATGACTTTGCACATTGAGATGGAGGTAATACCTCTATCACAATGTGCTACCTTGTGTCACACCAAAATGCGCAGACTTTGCACATTGCGATGCAGGTCACATTGTGCAAAGTCAGTGCATTTTGGTGAGTGACAAGGTAGTTCCTCATAAGCTGAAGAATTTTTGGATCATATATGGGAAATTTCTATTTATAGCATTAACATGGTTTGCATTATATCCAGATGAAGCCACTACAAGTGTGAACAACTGAAATTGTGGAAGTGTTCCCACCGAAAAATTCGGAAGGTAACTACCACCAAATTAAAAGCATTAGGTATCAAGTCCGTTGAGACTAAGTGGTTGAATAAAGGTGATAACTTTGAAGAAGGGTGAATTAGGTCGATGCTAAATCCACGGCCAATCATACTAGTTGTTTTGGCTCCAACTACAAGTAATGAAGAGTAGAAGAGATTATTGATCAATCAAATTGCTAAGGAAAAAACAAGAATTAGGAGCCTGGAAGAGAATAGATTGGGAGAAATTTTAAGACCCATGATGATTCACTAGAAAGGTGGTGTTTAATTGTCTTTGAAAGAATGAATGTGAGACCTAAATTTATAAGTAGATTTTCCCAACAATAGAAATCTTAGTATAAACTAGTTAATACTCTTTTATTAATATTGGTAAGGAAAAAGCCGGGGATAACCTCCTAATGATTATAATATTCTTTTGCTTACTGCTATTTAGTAATTACATACATGAACATGGAAATTGACTTAAAGTTAGAGTAAGAAAAAGGAAACCAATACGAAATAAATAAGGGATCAAAAGAGCTATCTTTACTCTTTCAGGAATTTTGAGAAAGAAAGGAAAAAAATATTGTATCCTGTTTTGCTCTATCATCTTCTTTTAGTTTTACTAGTCATAGAGTTAGTATATATGAATGACACTTCTCAACATCAGGAGCCACTTGGTTCATTAGTAAGGTGCATCTTATTTTATATAGAGAGATCGAGGGTCCAATACGTACAATGAATTTTAAATTTTTGAGCCTTCTTATTCCATAAAAAAGAGATGTCTAAATAATATGTGTATTATTGGATGTGCAGAGAACTATAATATGTTTATTTTAGATTTCTTATGGTTTACCTCCAAAATACGAGTAACAATTAAATTTGATTTGTGGTTTTAAAGATATGTGATTTAGCTCAATACCAATTAACAATCAAGAAATATAAAGTATAGATGAAAGAAACGAATGAATAAACCAGTGTTACCAAACAGTATCGGCCTCGAGCTTAGTGACCTCGAGATGAACCAAGAACAATAAAGTAAGAATAATAAAGAGAAAAGACAAGTCTGATGAACAATGAGCCAGAAAAATAAGATAATACATTCTTTTCCAATGATTAGATGATGTTTACAAATGATTGGGGTCCCCTTTATATAATAGGGGAACCCTAAATAAGGTACCCTTCCATTTACAGTGAGGAATCTTATTGGGACAGCTGTCTAACAGCCTAGTACGAAATCGTACAATTCTATTCCGTGATTTGCGCCATGATTCTGGGGACGTGGCAGGATTCTCGCACATTCTGTTAGAAATCCATAACGGTATTTTTTCGGGGTCGACCATACTCGGCTTTGGTATTCATCGTATTTCGATCCTCGGGCATTGCATCCTATCTTCGAGCTCGAGTTTGGTTCATTGAGCTAGAACTCGATCTTGCCTGAACTCGGTCTTAAGACGACCCATCAAGCCTATAGATCGAAGGCATATGATTTTGACCGTATACTGATAGTCCCCGCGTTTCTTAGAGTATGTCGATAAGAAACAATTTGATCTTTGATGCTCCGATGCCTTGATCCTGATGTCAATCTCGTGATGTCAGCGGCTGAAGTGACTGAAAGATCGCTTTCGTGCAGTTCCCAAAGTCATTAATTGGGGGCGGCTGACGGTCGACTATTTGGCTTCCCCAATATGCTTAAGCGACTTCTATAAATAGGCCAACTTCACGATTTCGCAAACTTTACTTCTCAAATCGTTCTCAAAATCTCATTAGCTCCTTCAACCTTTCTGAGTTCACCCTTCTCTCAATTTGTTCTTACTTTATCATCCCCCTTTTCTCTTCTCTCGAATTTCCAAACCATAATGGCTAAAACATCTAAATATGTTTCCCAAAAAGAACCTCTTCATCATCGCGGCCGACCAGAGGTAAAACGGTGGTGCCACCTCGTATCGAGGAGTGTATTCCCCCGCCGTATGAAACAACATCGGATTTCAAAATCGAAAAACCTTTATCGACACCAGGCCGATGTGAGCCCATGCCCCGATACATCTGTTTCATAACCAAAGATGAACTCCAGCAGGTGAAAAGGGACTGCAACTGGGAGAACAAAGATGTAGTGATCGCTTCCCCTAAAGAGAACATCACTACTCATAAAGCAGGGCACTTAAGCGTGTACACCTACCCATTCACGCTGGGCCCTGCCGATCCAGCTCTGGGTTCCATTGATGCAGTTATTCTTTATTTTTGCCAACAATACCAAGTGACGCTTGGCCAGATCTATCCATCATTCTGGCGCATCGTCAATCTGATCAGATTCTTCTCGAGCCAGGTTGAGGGAATGCCTTTTACCCTCGTTCATCTGATCAGGCTATACAACCCTCGTCTTTATCGAGGTGGCCTAACAAAGCTGCAACACCGATCCACGAAATCTCTCTTCTCCAGCATCGATGAAGAAAAAGATCGAGGATGAATGAGCTGGTTTGTCCCAGTCAGGACATCCGACCTGATTCCTGCTGAGAGGATGTCATTCCCCGAGGAATGGAATATGAATTGTAAGTACATGTTTGTCGATAATGACTTTATACCTTGTTTTCCCTTCTCTTTATCCACCTCATCTTTTTCTCGGTCTAGCCCATTTTCGATGGTGTAGCTGTTGCATAGTTCCCTGGGCGGTCCCAGATCTCAAAGGTTAGGTCCGAAAACTGGCCTCTACTTCTTCGTACACGGAGCGCAGCTAGCGTGACCTGGCCAATGGTCGATGGGAGGCCAAAAACCATGGTGAGTTCGCTTGTTTGGTTATTTGTGTTTCTCAGAGATATACTTACTTTGTGTTTATGCAGGCCTCGGAGATGTCGTTGCTATGCGGCCGCCCCCGCCCGGTAAAGAAGAGATCCCAAAGCCTTCCAAAGAAAATAAAAGAAAGAGGGGGTCACCTGCAAATTCTTCGAAGCCAATGAAAAGCAAGGCTCGAAAGCCTAAGGCCGATACTGTGGCCCTATCTACAGAAACGGCCCAATGCCTTCGGAGCGAGGAGGAAGAGAGGGAGGATGACGACTGCCTGTTGGTAGTTCGAAAAAGAGGAAACACTGACGATTCGAAGTATGCCGAACCGATGGTGGTTGATGCGGTTCATTCTAGGACTGAAGAAATCTCCGACGGGAGCTCGAGAAAAATCCTTAAGCCATCGGGCAGCAAAAGAACACCTCGTCTTGGAGGTCATTTAGAGGGTGAGACCGAGGGGCCTGGTCCCGAGACCCTTCAAAGAGAAGAGAATGCCCCGAGTGGAACACTTGGGGTAATTAACGTGGATGAATCGCCGCCTGGTTCTGAGTTCTCTGAGGGGCAATTTTGAGATGCTCAGAACATGTGAACTCCTTATGTGGGGACGAGTACCACGAAGGGAAAGATATCTTTCAAGAGTACCTTGCAGGGATCGAAGATGGTCCCAACCTAGATGCTTCTTTTATTTTTGATGAGGCCCGGCGTATCTTCAAACAAGTACGTTTCTGTCCTTAGAATCACGCCTGCATTTTATCCTTATTGTTCTGAGTCTAACTTTTCCTTTTTGTAAACGCTGTGATGCTCCATTGAGAAGCATTTTCCAAGTCTCGAGCTGAGCTTGCTCGATGTGAGGCTGGGCTCAAGAAGCTCTCGGAAGAGAGGGACGGCCTTAGGATCCTCTATGTCAAAAAGGAGGGGGAGATCAGTGACCTTCGAGCCGAACTGGAGAAGGCTCGTCAAGAACAGACCGAACTTGTTGAAAAGGTAATATACCCTTTGAAGTTTTGTTTTGCATTTTTCTGATTGGTCGGCTAACATTTCAACTTTGCAGGCTCAAAAAAGCGCAAGCTGGTGAAGCAGCTTCGAGAGGAGCTCAAAATGAACGAGGCCGAGACCCTGGGGTGGAGACAAGGCATGGACCGTCTCGCCTCGGAGAAAGATACTCTTTGGGAGCAGCTGGCTTCAATTGAACGCCAGCTTCAGAGTGTAAAGGAGGAGAGCCTGGCTCGAAGCCACATAATCGAGGAGCTCGAAGCTAAATCTCCTGCTGAGCTTGCCAAGGCCAAATCTGATGCAGAGGCATTTATATCTTCGTACCGAGCTGACGCTGAAGCATCTAACACCCGAGCAAAGGAGATCTCTGCTGTGGCCGAAGTTAAGCTATCATCTGCACTCGACCACGCCAAGCGACAGTCCCAGAAAGAAGCCCTCGAGGAGGTGCATGCTCGCGGCTTCGACCTTTCAGCCGATATTGAAAAGGCAAAGACTTTGGAAGAAGAGGTTGCCGCTTTGCTTTCTGATGATGAGGATTCAGCTAGTGGCTCCAAGAGCAGAGGAGACGAAGATGAAGTCCCCGAGGAGGAGGTTCCCGAAGACGCGGCTCCCGAAGATATAGCTGCCGAAGATGTGGCCCTAGAGTAGGTTTAGGTTTCATTGTTTTGTTTTTGTGTTTTTGTGCAAGGAACCCTCGTGGGTATTGTAAAACATCTCTTGTAAGCCCCTCTTATAAATATAAAAAGATCTCTTTGCTTCATCTTAAATTCCGTATTGTCTTTATTTTTTGAAAAAATTGATAACTTCAATGACCAAGTGAACCTTGGCTCGGATTCTGAATATAACAACCCTTAGGTTTTTTAGTGATCAGCGTGTGATCCTCGAACTTAGAATAGAATAACTTTTATGGTTTTTGTTAGTCTTTGAGCTATGCTTAAGTTGATTTGGCGCGAGCTCAGGGTAATGGAATTCTTGAGTCCGAGTTGAGTGAGAGAATGGTCTCGAACCCTATATGTTTTGGCCCTTAGGATCTTTTATATAGGCCCTTAGGCTCTTTTATTTTCGCCCTTAGGCTCTTTAAGTTGGGCCAATTCGGCCTCTAAAGCGGCTAATATATTTCCCTCTTTTCGGCTATAAGTATTAGTGAAAATTTATCTATGCCTTAGTGTTCTAATTCCTTTAATTTTTATGGCGGAAGTCGGACGTCTCCGAGCCGCATTATTTTGGCCGTAGCCTTTTTATATGAGCGTAGTCTTTAATATGGCTGTAGCCTTTAATATGGTCGTAGCCTTCGGGTATGTCTCTTTGGCTTGATTCCCGATAACCTTTCTAACTTGTTCGAAAGGTTAGTCCCCAAGTATGATGGCCTTGCCTTTATATCGAGGGGATGCCTCTTTTAGGTCTTATGAGTTCGAGTTTTTTATGACTTGGATATGTTGACTGTCAATGAAAGTCCCCGAGTGTTCGAGGTGTATTTGCGTTCTGGCCTTTGGGCCGTTTCTCGTAGAACTGTAAGTGCAGAGATCGTATAATAGTAGACTTCTTTTTGATATAGAAGGAATGCTTCGTTGAATAATTGATACATGCGTACATGTTTTATCGTCGGGGCTCAACTATTTTGTATGGATACGGTTCACCTGACTGTTTGACCCATTACAAAGTTCTCCTATCGAGGCCCTCTTAGGCGTGAAGTATTTTCCTCGAAAATATGACCTCTGAGGGTGATGCCCCCCAGTATGCGAGGTTGATTGAAAAGAAGCCTTGGATACTGTTAAGTTCTCCTTAGGTGGCATATAGTTTTTGCCTCGTTAAAAACCTCGCCGGTAAAACCCATTTGGGACAAAATCCGATCAAAGGAAAAAAGAGTGCAACGTGCTTTAAAACCTAAGGCCTTCGTGTAAAAAGGAGTCTTCGATAACTTCGATCGAACACCTGCAATGAGTTAGTTTCTAATTCAAATGGACAAGAAAGATACATTCATACCTTAGCACTAGTATCGTTTGAGTAATGAAACGTTCCAATTGTTCGGCAGTTGTTCACCTTCCATTGTGCTAAGTTTGTAAGATCCTTTACCGACAACTTTGAGGACTCGGTACGGTCCTTCCCAATTCGAGCACAGTTTCCCTTCATTCCTGTTTCGAGTAGTAAGGGTGACTTTCCGTAGAACTAAGTCCCCAATTCCAAAGTATCGAAGGTTGGTCCTTCTATTGTAGTATCTCTCGATTCTTTGCTTCTACGCGGCCATCCGAACAACTGCTGCTTGTTGTTTTCATCTAATAGCTCGAGGCTAGTGTTCATAGCCTTGTGATTTGATTCCTCCGATGCATGTCGAAACCTGACGCTGGGTTCTCCGACCTCGATAGGGATAAGGGCCCCAGAGCCATATATAAAAGAGAACAAAGTACCTCCCGTGCTAGACTTCGATGTTGTTCGATATGCCCAGAGGACCTCAGGTAGAACTTCTCTCCATTTTCCCTTTGGATCGTCTTACCTTTTCTTCAGGTTTTGAATAATAGTTTTGTTTGTTGCCTCGGCCTGTCCATTTCCAGTTGGGTGATATGGTGTTGATAAGATCCTCTTTATTTTATGTGCCTCAAGGAACTCCGTCACCTTGCTGCCGATGAGTTGTTTTCCGTTGTCGCACACAATCTTGGCAGGTATCCCGAACCGACATATAATGTGGTCCCAGATGAAGTCAATAACTTCTTTTTCTCTGACCTTCTCGAAGGCATGTGCTTCCACCCATTTAAAAAAATAATCAGTCATAAACAAAATAAATTTAGCTTTAGCAGGGACCGCTGGTAGAGGGCCGACTATGTCCATTCCCCATTTCATGAAAGGCCAAGGGGATAGGACCGAGTGGAGTTTTTCCCCGGGCTGATGCATCATCGGTGCAAACCGCTGGCACTTATCACATTTTTTGACAACTGCTTCGTATCATTTTCCATGTTGTCCCAGTAATACCCTGCTCTAATAATTTTGCGAACAAAAGACTCGGCGCCAGAGTGATTCCCACAAGTACCTTCGTGGATTTCTCCTAGAACATAATCGGTGTCCCCTGGCCCTAAACATACCACCAATGGCCTATCGAACGTTCTCCTGTATAGTGTTCCATCTTCATCTAATGCGAACCTAGCAGCCTTGGTTCATAGGGCCCGCGATTCTTTGTGGTCCGATGGGAGTTTTCCATTCTTCAAATAATTGATATATTTATTCATCCAGTCCCAAGTAAAACTTGTTGAATTTATCTCGGTGTGACTCTCTTCAACCACAGACCTCGATAACTGGACGACAGTCCCCGAGACGCTATCATCTTCTTCGACCGGATCCCAGATTAGCAAGTGCATCGGCCTTGCTATTTTATTCTCGAGGCACATGATCCAGAGTCCACTCCTTGAAGCGGTGCAAAGTTTCCTGTAGCTTATCCAAGTATCGCTGCATCTTGTCCTCTCGAACCTCAAAACTCTTGTTTACTTGGTTTACCACCAACAGTGAATCGCACTTGGCTTCAATGACTTCTGCTCCCAAGCTCTTAGCTAACTCGAGACCTGCAATCATGGCCTCATACTCGGCCTCATTATTAGTCAACCTAGAAGTTTTGATAGATTGTCTAATGGTGCCACCCGCAGGTGGCTTTAAGACAATGCCAAGCCCGGACTCTTTCACATTCGAGGCACCGTCCGTGAAAAGGGTCCATACCCCCGATGATGTACCCGACCATAGCAGGAGTTCTTTCTCTACTTCGGGTACGAGGGTCAGCGTAAAATAGGCCACGAAGTTAGCTAGGATTTGAGACTTGAAGGCCGTCCGTGGTTCATATTCAATATCGTACCCGCGAAGTTCGACGACCCATTTGCCCATCCAGCCGATAGCTCGGGCTTATGCAAAACATTTTAAAGGGGTAAGTGGTTAATACACATATGGTATGACATTGAAAATATGGCTTTAGCTTCTTAGATGGGCTTATTAATGCAAATACTAATTTTGCTAAGTGAGGATATCTAGTTTCAGCATCTCCTAGAGTTCGGCATACATAGGAAATTGCGTACCTTGCTCTTCTCGAACTAGTAACTCACTTAGCGCTATCTCGGATACTGCCAAGTAAAGGTAAAGTTTTTCATCTACCTCCGGGGTGTGAAGCGAAGGCTGGCTCGATAAGTATCGCTTCAATTCTTCCAAGGCTTGTTGGCATTTCAGGGTCCACGCGAAATCATTCTTCTTTTTAAGCAAGGAAAAAAACCGGTGACTTCGATATGATGACCTCGAAATGAATCGACCCAAAGCAGCTATTCGTCCAGTCAGCCTTTGCACAACCTTTGCACTATCCACCACCTTGATATCCTCGATGGCCTTGATCTTGTAGGGATTAATTTCGGTACCCCGATTCGAGACCATGAAACCGAGGAATTTACCCGAGCCGTCTCCGAAGGCGCACTTCTCCGGGTTAAGCTTCATGTTGTACTTTATCAAAGTTTTGAATGTTTCCTGAAAATGAGTAAAATGGTCCTCTACGCGCATGGACTTAACCAACATATCATCAATGTAGACTTCCATTGTTGTACCTATCTGTTCTTCGAACATTTTTTTATCTAGGAGTTGGTATGTAGCTCCTGTATTTTTTAGCCCGAAGAGCATTACGTTATAACAATAAGTTCCAAATTTAGTGATAAACGAAGTCTTTTCCTGATCCTTCGGGTCCATCTGAATTTGACTGTACCCGGAGTAGGCGTCGAGAAAAGTTAGGATCTCGTGGCCGACCGTGGAATCGATCATACGGTCGATGTTGGGCAAAGGGAAAGAATCTTTCGGACATGCTTTATTTAAATCCTTGTAATCTACGCACATTATCAGTTTATTTCCTTTTTAGGAACTACAACTACGTTGGCTAACCATTTGGGGTATTTCACCTCCCAAATAGACCCTATTTTAAGGAGTTTGGTTACCTTGTCCTTTATAAATGCATGTTTCACCTCGGACTGGGCCTCCTTTTTTGTATTACCGGTTTGAACCTGGGTTCGAGGCTTAACCGATGTGTTGTTATTTCCGGTGGAATCCCTGTCATATCTAAGTAGGACCAAGCAAAGCAATCCATTTTATCAATAAGAAATTGAATGAGTTTTTTCCTGAGTTCGGGAGTTAATCCCGTTCCCAGGTATACCTTTCCCTCGGGCATGTATTCGATCAGTATGACCTGCTCCAGTTCCTCGACAGTTGACTTGGTAGCATCAAACTCTTCAGGAACGACGAAGGTTCGAGGAGTAAGGAAATCCTCTTCTTCGTCTTCGATTACCTCTTGCTCCGATTCTGTCAAGGATGGGGGCGGTGATTTCTATTTAGCTGCCTGCTTACCTTTGATGCTCGATTTCTCCGAGGTTGAAGGCTCCGGTATCGGCGTCACTTTATCGTCTGCAAACATATCCATTGCAGCATGTTACTCTCCATATACCATTTTTACGCCATCCTCCGTTAGGAACTTCATCATCTAATGAAGAGTGGAAGGTACCGCCCTCATGTTGTGTATCCATGGTCTCCCGAGGAGTGAATTCTACCTCATGTCACCTTAGATAACATGGAGTTTTGTATCTTGAATGTTCCTGGCTACGTTGACTGGCATGATTATCTCCCCTATTGTTGTTTCGCTTCCCATG